GTAGGGGGGGCTGGAATTCAGAATTCTGCATCGGGGGTATCCATACTTCTCCATTAATAATATGGATGAAATTGGTACAAGCTGTCCGAAACCAGACGCAATCCATTAACAGTCTTACAAAAATGGTTGAAAAATAAAGGTTAAAAAACTTAAACATACCCTAAATAGTTTTCATAAATTGACTTAAATATACCCTAAATTTTGTAAATAGACTTAAATATACTTGGGGGCTGTCCCACTAGACTTCAACGCACCTTCATTTCTTATCCAGTATCATAAACTTGTTTTAATATTCTAAAATCTTATTTTACCCTTTGAAAATGATAGTCTCTTCTAAAATAGTATTTTAGTTTTGTTTCTGAATTTCTACAACTGGAACAATCTTTTTAATATACAGCACAGAGGAATCAACTTTGACAGGTGGGGGCAGTTGATCCATGGTGTAACAAGGGAACAAAAGATGTTGGATAGATTTAGAGGTGGCAATGAGCTGTTTTTGTTTTCTTGCCACCTCTATTATGTTGAGTGGAGGATAGACTCTGTATCAAAGGACAAACTCTTAAAGTTTTATAGAGAGAGAGAGCATAAACAACACTAGTGGTGAACCAATTGAAAATTATCCGGAATCCAATACTTGGGCACGGTACCACACGATGAGTACCTTCAATTTCATCTGTTATATCTTTTTGGTGTATATTTTTTTATTCATTTATTAAAAAAATGTAAGATTTAAATAAAGGGAATTGAATGAGGTGATAAATAATAGTTCAATTTACAATTTAAACCTTATAGTTAAATAATGACTAAATTCAAAAACTAATGAGTATTTTAGTTAAAAGAAAGTTCTACAATCTTATTCATATTTTTAATAGTAGTATAAGTATAGAATTATGAACATGTTCAATTTTTTCTATAATTTTTCTACTTCTGTGTATAAAAATAATTCTGATATGTCACACTCACTTTTTGTTTAATATTGATATTTATATAATATTGTACATGTGCTTGAAATTTTTTTGCAAAATTTATGTATTTTTTTATTTTTTATTTTATTAATTTCTATCATTTATTTATGACATTAAATGTTAACACATTTGACTCAAAAGTTAAACTATTGATCTTTGCCAAACATTAAAATAATTTTATTTTTGGTTAGTTCTAAATTATATATTTCACTTTCATTATCAATAAAGATAATTTTTGTTTATTACACTTGTTTTTTAATTTTATTAATAAAAATATCATAAACCTGTATTTTCTTTATATTCTTGTAATTTTCTTTCTTTATTTCTATTTTAAAAATTTTATTACTTAACTATGACTTCATAGGTTTATCAATTTGATTAGAATGGTTGAATTACTTAGCCACCACTTGGATAAAAAATGGTTTTATTTTTGAGTTAGTTTTAAAATATATGGGTTTATATTATTAAAAATATTGACATAGATCTAATTAGTAGCATTTATTAGTGAAAAATAACTTAAATATAAGATTTAATGAGAGAAAACAAGAGTTAATACCTTGGATATAAGACTTAACTTTGGTCTTGCATTTTCGCTCTTACTTAAAATGGGTGAACTTATATTATCTCCTGCTACTTGAATCTCATACTCTTCCATGTTTCCCTTTCTACTTATATACTCTTCTTTTTTGAAAACAGGCTGGGGTTACACTGGTGTGGGACTTAATGGTCGTGGGGTGGGATGTGACTTACAAGGAAGAGTTCATTCCACATGACGAATGCTCATACAGAGTTCTGATTAGGCAGACAAAGAAACTGGAAGAGAGTGTTCGGAATTCATTTTATATTAGTGAACCAGGAAAAATACTGTTGACGATTGACAACGACACCTTCAGGAAGAAGAGAGTTCTTTATCGGTTTAAAAGCAAACCTACCATCATGTAAGCTCTTTTAAAATGATAACATATTATATTTTGCACTTAAATTAAATCCATATTTTAATGTTATTTGATTTCATCATATTAGGTTGGAAACTAAAGATTTGATCTTTTGACAGTTGAAACATCCGAGTTTTATTCCAAGGAACTGCCATGGCAAAAAGGATGGTTAAATTCTATCATCATTGGATAGAGAATATAGATCAAACATTTGAATTTTCTATTATTACATGTAAATTAACTATTTTTTCTTTTTTTTTTCAATTTAAGTAGTATTGACAGTGGCATGGCTAATTTATTTGCAGCTTTTGCCATCTCTTGTGAGAGTAGGAATGAGTCTTTGATGGAGGATGCCTCTCTTTGTAATATTTCTCTTTGTTTTTGAAAGACCGTGATCCATTGTTAATGTATTAGGTGTTGTTCTGTTGCTCAGAAGTCTTATGTCTGAAAAGTAAAAACTTTGATTGTAAGTATTTTGAAAATTGGTGTTTTTTTTTTTGTTTTATTTGAATGCAAAGAATGTTATTCTAAAATTTGAATATTGAATATTAAAAGTGATTAATTATTTTACTAAAACCTGAATGATATGGCCATATATGAAGTTTTTCTTTTAATGATGTGCAATGAGTTCTACTCATGAACCATGAGACCATAGAACATATTAAATTGTTATTTTATAACTTTCAACTTGCTGCAAATTTGGCTTTGTCATAGAGATGGAAGGGGAAAGAATATAAAAAATGATAATGTGTTAAGGATTAATACAAAAAAACTAACGAATAAAAATAATTAAAATAAAGGCTATATGTTACACAGATCCATTAACTTTTTAGGATGTAAACAGGAGTTTGGGCCAATCAAGGGCCCTTTTGGTATGTCTTTTTATGCGGTCTTTCGGCTGTTTACAAACTGGGAAAACAAAAAATCAGTCTATTTCCATTTGGCACACGGAAGATCTAGCCGCCAAAAGATGGGACGCCGAAAATACGTGAAAAGCCCATTTTGGGCTGATTTTGGGAAGCTCCAAATGAAGCTTCTCATGTTTTTCGCATTTTAATTTTGCACGGAAAAACGTGGAATGACGCATGGAAAGACGCACATCTGCCAAACAGTCTTCAAACTACCAAAATTTTATGTCAAAAGCTCAATGCATCTTTTGACTGTCAGATCTACAAGATCTTCTCAAAAAGACTTGTCAAATGGGTCCCAAGTTTATCACTTTATCCTTAACACACCCCCTCAAACTTAACAGTATGGGAAGAACGTTAAGTTTGTCACGTAGCAAGACATGACGAGCAATGGATAGTCCTATGGTGAATATATCTGCGATCTAATCGTCAGTGTGAACGTGATGGACATCAAACTGGTCCGAGGTGATGTGGTCTCTAATGTAATGGAAATTGATCTCCACATATTTAGTGCGCCCATGGACGATTGGATTGGCAGCCAAGTAGGTTGCACTGATGTTGTCACACCAAAGTGTGTAGGGGACGATGGGAGAGAGACACCAAGTTCATGTAATAAAAGATTAATTGCATCCAAATTACCTTTGTGCTAGCTTCAGTGAGAGCACGGAATTCAGATTCGATGCTGGACCTTGCAATAGTTGCTTGTTTGTGAGGTTTCCAAGAGACAAGGTTGGGCCTAGATATATAGCAAATCCTCCTATAGATTTATGGTCATCAGGGCAACTAACTCAATTGGCATCTCTATAAGCTGAAAGGGTAAGTGAAGTGGCTGGTTTAAAGTGAAGTCTCATGTTAATAGATCCTTTTAAATACCGAAAAATCTTTTTAACAAAGCCCAATGCACATCAGTGGGAGATTGGAGGAACTGGCAAGCCCTATTTACTACAAAGGCAATATCTAGCATATTGTAGAACGCCAACTATGCTGCCATACTCATAAGGATTAACTAGAGGAGTGTCATTTGCCTTTGAGAGCTTGCAGTTAAGAGAGGCTGGTGTAGAAATTGGTTTCACCCCCTCTAAGAAAGTAGTGAATGGAACCAAGGTCCTTGATGGCAAAAGTATCAACAAGAAGGGATAATAGGTGAGAGAGGACCTGATTATTGTTGGAGTAGGTGATAAGGATGTCATCGACATAGACCAATAGAAAAACCTCTTTAGATTTATATATGAATAAAGATGAATCCCCATTGGAGGAGTGAAAACCAAGCTCGAGGAGCTTGTTTTAAACCTTAGAGGGCTTTCTTGAGTCTGCAAACATGATGAGGAAAAGTGGGATGAATGTTGGAGATAACTAGTTGTTTAATTTCCCCGTTTAAGTCTCCATGGAGAAAGGCATTGGAGGTAACTAGTTGTTTAATTTCCCAGTTCCATGTATGTGCAAGAGAAAGAATAAGAATGTAGTAACTGGCTTCACAACTGGACTGAAGGTATCCCCAAAATCAACACCAGATTGTGAAGAGTAACCTTGGGTAACCAGACGTGCCTTGCACCTTTGAAGAGAACCATCAGGATTTTGTTTAATGTGATATACCCATTTGCTGCCTGTAACATTTATGCCTGGAGTGAAAGGTACTAAATCGATCCCAGATATCATTCTACAGCAAAGCATCAAATTCAGAACTCATTGCTTCGCGCCACTTAGGGTACTTAGATGCCTGGTTGAAGCATGTCGGCTCAACAATAGAGGTATCTATTTGAGAGACGGATGGTTGAGAAATCGGATGTTGAGTGGAGAGAAGAGCATTAGTTCTACCACAAGTCTGAGATTGAGTGACCATGGGATGCACTCGGTTGGGAGCAATGGGGTTGTCGAGGCTGGGCATGGAATGGTTCCATTGATTATCCCCTCAATTTCGTGAAGACTGAAAATAGGTAAATACTGAGTCTTCCAAGAGAGATAGTTGTCTCCTGTGAGTTTAATTGGCAAGAAGTGAGAGATATTGGGCATAGAGATAGAGGCAAGGGAAGGAGTGTGAGAACATGTTGGTAGAGGGGAGAGGATTATATTAAGTAGTGCTAGAAGAAGAAGAATGAGATGCCATGATGAATGGCTCTGATAGCATACAAATATGCTGGAGAAAGTGAATGTGTCGAGGCCATCTTGAGAATAATCTAAGATGGCTAGAGAATTTGAAGAACAGGCAAGGGCATTTTCAACTATAAAAGGGCAAATCTTGGCTTTTGAAATAATCATAACATCAAAATCTCATGTTTGAGTTTGAGAGTCAATCTCATGAGCCAAGTTTTATTGAACTCGAGTTCGGCTTTGATTAGAAGATGGACCTATATGTTAGGCTTGAGCTCAGCTCGAAACTCAATTTAAACTGAACCAAATTATTATTAATTTTCTTAAGAAGATAAGGTAAAAATTTTATTAAAAGCACAACAAAAGTATACAAGTTGTATACAATGTAGGCCACAACAAGCCTCGACAAACTCAAACTCCAAGACACAACAGACCTTTGGAGGCCTCTTCAAGCCTCTACAAAGACAAACATCCTAACTAGATCAGGAACACCCAACTGCCTCAGCAAACTAAACTAACATGGTGCCAAAGTAGAAAAAGGATAGGCACCATGTTTCTCCAGCAAATCTAAGAAAAGGCTACAGAACTTCCTCTACCTGTCCTACCTCTTCCTCTTACACTTCTCACATTCCTCCTATTAGGCTATTACCTTTCAAGCCCCTAGATTGATTTGCTACCTTTACATCATAAAACAATTCAAGGTGCTTTGACGTCCTCCTGTCTGAGAGGTAGTATAAACTACTAGATAACCAATCCGAGCTATAGCTCAAAGATTTGATCTCGTCTTCTGAGACAGGGCTGTCAATCAGGTTTGGACACAATTATATCTTTGGCCTTGAACTACGAATCTGGGTTTCTTGGAGAGCACCAAGAATTTTCTCAAAACACATAAACTTCTCAGCCTAACTTTCTTCTTTCCTAGGTGCTATAGAACCATCTACTGAAACTGAGTTAAGGGGAGGAACTTCCTCCACTAAAGAGAGCTTGTTCAAGCTGCCATCCCCAGGTAACAGAGGGGAGTTCAAGTGAGGAAACTCCAGCATCGCATTCGGACTAACTGGGGCTTCCATCTGAGTTGGAGGACGATTAGGCATAGGTCTCCCACTAATTGCGGGCCCAAGAATGGGCCAACATTCAAGCATACCAGTGGACTATGGGCCGCATCTGACATATCTGAAAAAGGGGCCCATTCGAATTCTTAACCCCTTCTGGGCTTGGGCACAACCACCCACTCAGCCTTCTGTAATCAGCAATTTTTAGCATGTTAGGCAGACTCAATTGATCAATCTAACGGAAGTTTATCAATTATACCCAATTGATCAATCAAATTGGAGGGATGAAGACGACAGGATTTCCAGTGGGAAAACCGGTGATGCCTCTGTTCACCCGCGACCTAGGAACATGTCTTTGAGCACCACTGATTTCCTCCGGCTTCGGTTGGTTAGATTGAGACTTCCCTTCGCCTGAAGACTTAAAAAAACCTCTCCTTACCAACAACTGAAACTCCCCTTAACACCTCATCAATTAAAGAAAGGAGCTGGACCAGAGACCAGAGTTCCGCTCCCCTGCTCTACAAACACTGTCCGCAGAACGTAGTTTATGCCTATGATATCTAGATCAATAAATTTTGGGAAGTTGTGAACTGACCTACTCCAAATCAATTATATATATATGATGGAACCCTATTTCATTTTATTTGCTTTTTGTGGATTTTTTATATATTTTTTTAATCTCTTATATTTCGTTTATGTTTTTTATTTCTCATTTTGTGATTTATTTTATTTATATATGTTTTGTTTTTATTACTATTTTCTTTTGAGTGACTTATTGTAAATAGATCCTGATCATCAATCTAAGCACCCTATTCCCTTGACCCGAACCCCCACGACTACAGATTTTCAATTTTAATTAAATGAAAACGTACCTTCCAAAAATAGAGAATATGGAAGGAAATAATTAGACCTGAACACGGGAGTTCGGCTTCTATCCAAGCACCGTTCGCGCAAAAGGAGGACGTGCCACGCGTCCTCAACTTGGTGTGAGTGTTCTATACGGGTGGGCTATAGGAAACGACGTCTCCTGTCAATCCCATTACATTATTTCGAAAACGAGTAATAATTTTACACTTCCCGCTCCTCTGTCTCTCTCTCCCCTTCCAACGGGTGGTGATTAACAACCATCACCGACGACATTTCTGGCCCTCAAGCAACATAGGGCAGAAAGCAGGAGAGCAATACCAAGATGAAGACGATGACGATGGAGAAGGTAGGGGAGGTGGGAATGATACTGGTCGCCTTCGCTAGTGGCCTGCGTCGAGGATTTTCAGGGTTTCTCGAGCATCTGGCGGGAAGGATCATCATAGCAAGGTCTTAACAGCGAAAGGGCTTAGAGACCGTAGGGTTCATCTTTCGGTCTCCA